ACATGAAGCCCGGCAGCTGCTCCACAGACAGGGGGCGCCCCTGTCTGATTTCGAGCATCGGGGCAAAGCTGGGGTCACTCTCGTTACACCCATTGCCTGGGTCTGCCGGGGCACCCCCAGCTCAAACCAGGTGAGGGGCTGTGGGACGGACGCCCGGGCCCTGCCTGACACGGCAGACTGGCCACGGGGCGTCAGGAACCGCTGACCTCGGGCCTCGGCCCCTGCCTCCACTGCCCCAGCCTCAAAGACTGTGGGAGTCACCCTGAGGGGTGGACCTGGGACTCGCACACCAACTGGTGACCCAGGACACAGAGGGCCCCGCAGCACAGACAGGACACGCAGCCCTTCCTGTAACAAGAGCAGCACGCGAGCTGGTCTCGGGGCCTGTTCAAGGGTCAACAGGGCATGAAGCATACAACTTTCATCTTTACTTTCCAGGTAGCTAATTACTTTTTTTTTCAAAGCAGGTATTGGAATCTTTTTATTCGTTTTATTCATTTTAGCAAACACTGAATAAAATTAGTGTTTTTATTTAATAATTACCCAAGTCACTTATTGAACCAGCGAGATCTGCCCTTGGTAATTCAACCACCACCTGAAACAGATGGGAAGATGGAAACACTTTACACTCACGGAACACTTCAGCAGCGCAGAGCTCTGACGAGGACAGCATGCTCCATTGGCCACTAAAAGGATCACTGCTCCAGAAGAGAGATGGGTCATAACTTCCGAACTAATACTTGCATGCTGTAAACCGCCTTCTTTCAACCCGTTTCTCCATGCTCCATGAGGGGCCGACGTCCAGCGCGTCCTCTGCAGTGAGTCTCCCACCCTCGTCCTGTGGCCCCGACTGTCCCCACCGCTTGCACTGGCATCGCTCATTCCCGCAGGAATTCCCGATGGCCCGTCTGGTCCTTGTGTCCCCGAGCCGAATGGAGCCCCCCACACCCAACCAACCTCAGCACAGACCAGGCCCGGGCGTGCAGCCTCCTCACCCACACGTTGAGAACCCCGCTCTCGTCCAAGGACGCGATGTGGAACGACAGACCCGACGTCTCTATGAAGACAGAAGTGGGGAGGGAGACTCGAGACCAGGGGACCACTCCTCACGACCTGAGCTACAGAGCTCACGAGGCGAAGGGCGTACCTTCCGGAGCAGAGAAAGGTGAGAGCACGCAGCTCTGTCTTTTGCAGACAGACGCCGAGACCGGTTCTATCGCTCGGAGGGGACTGCGGTGGTTCACCGACGTCAGGACGCCGTCTGGGGATGGAAGGGTAAGTCAGGGAGCACAGTTAGCACTGAGTTGTGCGGGGACGGGCACAGGTGCATCTCCTCAACGAGAGACCACGTGGACCACACACAAACGTCCACGTGCCACTGCTATCAGCATCACCGTGAAGCAGAGACCAGAGTTCACTGCGCCAGTGAGAAGAGGGGTGAGCTTTGCACGCAGGGCTGCGGGTGTGGAGGGCGAGGTTCAGACCCCTGGCC